CAAGAACCAAAACATTGTCAGTAGAAGCAGAATACCTGGCCATGTTGGTAGCAATATGGTTGCCGTTAAAAATGAGTCAACCTGATAACAAATGAAAAAGAAAAGAAGAAAAAACTGACAGATTAGACACAAAAATTAGAACAAATATGTACACCAAACTTTTAACAAATAAAACATGGACGACTTAATAGATACTTAAAAAAGAAAAACAATGATCGAAGTAAAACGTAACAAATAAACAAGGAAAAAATAAAGCCTGATGAAAAAATTAATAAACAGATAAACTGTGTGTGAGTAAAATAAAGGGAAAAAATAAAAATGGGGAGGGTAAAAAAAGAAAAAAATCAAAAAAAACTTTTGCAAAACAGTCATAAGAAAAGAACATAAGAAAAATAGTAAAAAATAAATCAAACTTAACAAAAATGTAGTTTACAGTTCAAAAAGATCGTAGAGTGGCAGAAAAAGTCTAGTGGTAATCACCAGTCCAATTTGTCTGCAAAAAAAAAAAAAAAAAAAGAACTCGTCTCACACTGAATGGGCTTTACTTAACTGAGAATACAAGGTTCACATATAGTGTCGTTTTATAGTCCCTGTAAACAGAAATAGCTCTCTCAAAGTGGAGAGTAACAAAAAAAGGGGAGACCACTCTTGATTATTCATAACACTCGTATCAGGCACTTTTTGCTGCATGAATTCAAAAAAGTGTTTTTCAATAATGAAAGTGGCAATAAATATTTGTTCTGTCTATAAAACTGAACCTTTAAGTGCCCAGACATGTCAATGACAGTTTGGCCAGTTTTGATGGACAATTTTTTCTTTCAAAGTTTCCCTTTAATCTGTATGGCGAATTTCTGTCAATTTTTAGATTCTACAAACTCTAGATAAGAAAAATCCCCAGGAAACTGCTCCAGAAATAACAAAACAGTTACATGCAAGTCACATTCAATTGTAAAACACATTCATCTTCATAAACTTGGAAAATATCTAAAGTTGGTCAATGAGTTCCTTATCATCTGACTGCTTCTCAGCTTAAACAAAGAGTTTGCCTTCTGCTCATCATTGAAGAGTTGTCTTTATACCAAAACTTTCCTGGGTAGAATCATCACCAGTGATGAAGAGTGTTTACTCTATAATCATATCCAATGAAAATGACAATGGTTAGCACTCACTGAAAGACAGATCCATTCCTGAACTAAGACTACGCATGAAAAAAGTTATGCTCTTTGTTTGGTAGAATATGAAAGGTGTCATTTATTATGAAGTGCTAAACCAAACAAAACAGTTAATGCAGAGAAGTATTGTCATCAATTAAAAGTACTTCACAAAAATATATAGAAAAAGCACTTATCAGTGGTTAAACATAAAAAGTGTTTTGCTCTTATGACATAATACAAGATCAAATGTTACCCAATTCAGTCAGGAAAATATTATGGGATGAATTATGGAAGTTTTACTTCAGCCTCCCTAATCTCTTGACTCTGCTCAATCTGACTATCATCTTTCTAGATCATTGTAACATTTTTAGATGAAAAACAGGTTAAAAATTATTATAAGTTAAAACTGATATTTGCATTGAAAGCTAATGAATTTTATTCCCAATGGATCAAAAATTTGACAAATGGATGGGTTTATATTGTTTATAATGAAAGGAAACATTATCTTGATTAAATATATTAATGCATCCTAAAGAAGCCTTTGTTTCTTTTTCCATCTTTAAATGCAATATGACTTTTTTTAATCTAATGAAAATTTAAAAATAAGATTAGATCCAGTCCTGTTGTCTACCAAAATAAAGTAAAATTATTGTTTCTGCAAACATTTCTTAAAAAGAAATACCTGTATGAGTGATAAAGTGCTAAACACATTACGTCATAGAAATTCCTCAGATTTTCTTAATATTTTGTAAAAGTTGGTACACATGTGTTTATGTTTTAAATTTCTGATCTGTTTCTAACTTACATTTCATTGTATTATACTTACATATCTGCATATCATTCTGATGTGATTGCAAATAAAGTGTCTCAAAACCTAGGAAAAAATTTGTGAAATTACATGCATTTTTTCATGTCTATAATCTTCTTTCAAAATGTCTGCTCCTCAGGACACATGTAGGAAGCAAAGAGCCATCATAGAATTTTGTGTTTCGAGGTGAAAATGCTACAAACATTCACAGGAGGTTAGCGAATATTCATATAAAGGCTGAATTTGGTGTTAGTACAGTAAGGAGGTTATGTCAGGTCACTTTATACTTCTTGTACCATTTAACCCAATAGTACTTACTAGTTTCAAAATAGATTTTTCTGTTAATTACAATGTAGAAGGACTAATCAACAGAGTTCAGAGTAATTTTGAATATAAATCAGTAAATACAGGTCACTGAGCTTTATTCTAAACCATTTTCTTCCTCTTTCATGTGTCATATTGCTCTTGCTGAAACCACAGATACACAAAACAATCTGGGTGAGGAAGATGAACAAACATTAGAGTTCTTGGCTTCTCTACTGCTGTAGTTGTACTGCCTATTTTCATGCATTTTTCAGCTTTATATCAAAACTTATATATAAAAAAAAAAGACAATACATACCTGTTAGGATTCCACATCCACAATGTTTAAACCACACCCACTCAGTTCAGTTAATTTTGAACCAAAGTTCAGACCAATATGGTAGGATTTTGAATTACATCTATTACAATTATCATTTCACCATTTTTGTCTAGCCTATGTATTCTGTAACAAAAACGCAATATGTTTGCCTTTTCCTGGATGGCTGACAAACTGGTGAAAAAAATAGAATGCATGTACCCCATTTTGAGCTAAACGCAAGTTGAAAAAATCTGATTTTTTTTTTAAATAGGATTTGGCAGATAACCAGGAAAATCCTCTGACATCAGTCATTGACAATCTTGTAGTTATTACAAAGAATCATGTTGAAAATGTCCTGTTTAGGTCACCGAAAAGAGAGCAGCATTTTTTACGGTATTTAACATTTGTGAAGAATAATCCAGAACCTATACTGACAGTAAACTGCATACATATGGACAGAAAAACAAGTAAAAATAAAAGGAGGCACAGTGGAGTAATGGATAGCGGCTCAGATTGAGGAACCGGAGAGCTGAGTTCAAATTCCACTGGAATCCATTACATTCACTTATGTGCTAATACCCTTGGGAAAGGTATGAATCATCTTCTTCTCCCCCCCAGCAATGGGTAAATAGCAAGACAGACTAGGTTTTATAGCCTTGGATGGCAACTGGTCTACTGCAGAAAGAAATGGCAACCAACTGCAAGAAAAAATCTGCCTTGTTAGTCATGTATCGAAAGATACATGATCACCTAAATGTGTATCACGCATGAAATATAACTGACTGATTGAGAAAAAACAAGTCAAAAGAATGATCTTCTACATGAAGTGAGAAACACGCTAATATATAGCATGGTGGATTCAGGAATCGGAGAGCTGAGTTCGAATTCCAGTCAAATCCATTACATTCACTTACGTGCTAATACAGTTGGGAAAGGTATGAATCATCTTCTTCTCTCCGCCCCCCAGCAATGAGTAAATAGCAAGACAGACTAGGTTTTATAGCCTTGGATGGCAACTGGTCTACTGCAGAAAGAAATGGTAACCAACTGCAAAAAAAATCTGCCTTGTTAGTCATGTATCGAAAGTTATATGATCACCTAAGCGTGTATCACGCATGAAATATAACTGACTGACTGACAAAAATTTAGATATCTGGGAAGTGTTTTAATAAAGGATAGAAAGTGCAACACTGAAATCCAAAGGTGCATTGGGATAGTAAAAGATGCCTTTCAAAAGCTAAACAAAGTATTATGAATTAAAAAAAGTCATTAAAAACAAAGAAAAGAGTACAGAACTGTTATAACTAATAACTAAACTAATCTCAGTTTTCCTATATGGCAAAGAATGCTAAATAATGTCATGATGAAAAAAGGGCAACACAAATGTGATGGACCAAACATGTGATAAATGACAAAGTTATAGAGAAAATAGAAACAAAAAGGACACTTATACTTTACATCAGGAAGAGACAGTTGAAATTTCTAGGGAAAATAATGAAGAAAAGGGGCTTGGAAAATTTGATACTCACAGGAGAGATTGAAGCCTAGAGGGACAGAGGAAAACAATTATTAACCTACCTAGCGAACTTGAGTAAATGAATGACTGAACAAGATTTAAGAGAAATAACACAAAGACAAAATTTATTATGAGCTATGAAAGACAGAAAATTGTGGAGAACAGTGATCACTAACATCTTGAAGGGACATGGCAAATAGAAAATGAAATTGTGAAGGATGAACAACAAATATTCAAAAATCTCTGGATTTAGAAAGTATTTTTTCTTATTAATGATGATGATTGTGTTGATTTCTTACAATGATGATGATGCTTTAAATTCTTATAATGTCATGATATTTTAGCTTCTTTATTTTATTTAGCAACTTTCCTGTTATGAATGTAATGATGATGTCTAACTTCTTTATGATGTTGGTGATGCTTTAGGTGTTTTCTTACAATAATGATGATGATGCTTTAACTTTTGTAATGATTATAATACTTTAGTTTGTTTATTATGAATATAATTTAAATAATTTCTCATAAGATGATGATGATGCTTTGCATGTCTTATAAGACCAATTATTTATTTATTTTTATTTTATTTTATTTTTTTGCAGCTTGAGATTTCATTCCTGAATGGATATTGCACTCTAATCTTGACAACATAAAGGAACTTACTGAAAATGTCCTGTTAGACTTGAACAAAAACACTTTGATAGCATTTAATGTTGTTGATTAATGAAACAATGGAGAAATTAAAGGATGAACGACAAATGTTCAAAAATCTCTTTTGTTTATTTAAAATGAATTTGGATTCTATTTAATCTTCTGTTCAGAAATTAATTAACAGATATTAATAATGTGTTCGATTTGTGTTTCTTGCCAGTATTATTTGTTATTTGAAAATAAAGGACATTATGGCCACATCATGTTGAAACACCAGTTCCTGTCTAATCACCAAAGTTAAGCAACAGCGTGCCTGATCAGTACCTAGATGGGTGAGCCCTTTTGAATACCAGGTGATGTAAACTTGGATGTGCAAGTGATATAATGGATAATGAGACAGAATTTTTAATCGGAGAGCCAAGATGAGTTTGTTATATTCGCTTATGCACAAATACCTTTTGGAAAGATATGAATTCACCTCTTCTCCCCTCAGCCAAGGGTTAATTATTAGGTTGGTGCAAAAATAATGACGTAATAATGTCGTTTTTGACGTTAAAAAATACGTCAAAAAAACGACATTATTATGTCATTATTTTTCTTACCTAATAGTAAGACTTGTATCATTAAAAACCATTATTATTTTTTTTAAATTCTTACAATCTAAAAATATTTTCTGCTTTTAAATAATTTTCAAAGGGTTGATAAGCTGTAGAAAGTGAATCAATCAAAGCAAATTTTTTTTTTAAGCTTTTCACCACAAGCAAAGCGAGAGTGCCACTAGTACACAAAAGGTTACAGAGAGTGGAAGCAAGAGTAAAGAGGCATGAAAGAGATAGGATAAAGAGAAGGATGGGAATAGATCAAGGCATCTAGAGATGTCGATTGACATTGCATTTGAATAGTTGGAGATTACAGCTATCAGGGAAGCACATAAGAGGATGGGAGTTCCACTGATGGGAAGTGCAAGACATGAAGCTATTGGAGTAGAAGAGACGGCTAAATTTAACAGTTTTGACAGTGAAAGGGTGGGACTGAGATGCTGACGAAGTAGCATGTTTAAATTCATGCAGTTTTGGAACTAGTGAAAGTAGCTCATCTGAGCAGTTACTGTGAAAAGGGAATATAATATATATATATATATATATATATATATATATATATATAAATATAGTCTTAAGGTGTGCTATATTTATGGGATAAAGTGCTCAATATCAGAGATAGAGCATGTGTAAATATAAAAGTGAACATAGAAGTCAACACTTAGAGGCGACAGTCTGTTTCATGCTATATGTGGCCTGACGATTGCATATAGCATGAAACAGACTGTCGCCTCTATGTTGACTTTTATGTTCTTTTATTTATATATATATATATATATATATATATATATATATATATATATAAGGCCTTCTCTATTTATGCAAACATACCCTAAGGCCTTCTCTATTTATGGAAACATAGACCAAGGTGTTCTGTATTTATGGAAACATACACCAAGGACTTCTCTCAGTTTTTCACCAACTGGACACATCATCCCATGTTGTGTTTCATTTTCAGTCTATATTGATATGCCCCAAAACTGGGAAAGGTCCATTGTACATTAACAAAGAAATGAAAGGTGACATTAATGCCATGGTGAGAAATGGAAATCATGAATCCTGTTTCCTATAAACTTGATGGTTTATTCAGGATTCTGTATTCACTGAAACAGACTCGAGATGGACAGGTGACACTTGAGATATTTTCTGCTAATTCTGTCATGACAGACTAACATGAGAACTCTCCTACCACTTCTCTGCTCATCTCTTCATCATGATGTATGGCTGCCAACTCCATAATGGGTGATCTCAAACTCTCTCAATGGCCATCAACAAACAGCATCAAAATTAACTTCAATTCTAACTATGACTGTTTATAAAAATCTACAAACAAAACATTTTAACTTCTGGCCAAGTTGCATAGATCCCAAAATTTTTTACTTAATCATGTATTTATTTTATTTCTTTTTGGTCAGTTGGATGAAGATCTTGAATTTTACTGGTGGTCATAAAAACACCAGATAATTCAGACTCAAAATAAAATCATTTACTGTTCTCTTCTATCTGGATACCTTGATCCAATTATGTAAGGAAGCAATTGTGTCACTTTTATGCCCATTGACCTTCGTTTTTTTTGACTCAGCTGTTCCTGTACACCAAGAAGTTGACTTCTGAAGACTCAATACTTTTTGATGTGGCACACTCTATAACAGGGACACGTAACATTGGGCAAAGTTAAAGGCTATAAAGATTTTGTTGAAAGTTTAAATAAAACTCAGAATGTTGCTTGTATTTTTAATATGCAAGAAGTTAATTGTTCCAAGAAGTGGTTTTAAAATGTTTTGCTATGGCTTATTGAGGGCATTAACAATTTCAGATGTCAGTCATATTGGACTGTCTATGCACAAAGCAGACATTCCAATGCAACCTATCATATGTGGAATTGGTTAACCTTTCCATAGACTGGCAAAAGTCATAGCAAAATTTTAACACCACTTCATGGAACAATTAAACTTTCACATATTAAAAATAGAGTTGATCTTGTTGAAAGACTAAGGAGGATATGTATGATAGACAAATTTGTGGCTAGTTTAGATGTCAAATTTCTTCCTACTAATGTTCCTGTCAACAAATGCTTTGATCTTTTAATAAAACTCAAAGGCTTACTGTGATAAAGAAGTCCTGTACAGGCATTAAAATTCAGTGATAAATAAATTATGAAGATATTTGAGGCTATAAAATACAGATTTTGAAAGTTATAAAAAAAGAATGAGTATTAAAGGAAATGCATTGTTTAAAAGCTTCAGAAAAGTGATGTGTAGATTAATGAAAAAGACATTTTTAAAATACCATGTCACTTAAGAACATAAGTGATCAAAGCTCTCAACAGCTTCCTTTTCTTTGTTTTCTGCAAATTGCAATGCTTTTCTTGTATGAGATAGTAGATTGGATTTCTGTTGCCTTCTCCAGTTTTGAATTCAGAGTAGTCATTCTCTGAGAATTGCTACCACCCATTCTATCTTGCTATTTAACCCTTAGTTTTGAGGAGAAGAGATGACTTCATGTCTTTTCCAAGGATGCTAGTACTAAACTGAATGCAATAGATGAGGCCACAATTTGAATTCAGCTCACCAATTCCACTTTCTGTGATGATAACCATTATGCCACCCACACTTCCCTTTCTTATCTATTTTTTAAAATCATAGCTTCCCATAGATTCCATTTCTTTGTTATCTATAAATACCATAAATTATTGAAAAACTGGAATGTTTTCCCATTCCCTTCAGAACATCACTCTCCACAGATTCCTTTTCTTTATTATTTGCAAATACATAAATTATAGAGGATATATTTTTAATATATTGAGTTTGAACATTTTTTTGATATTATAAAATGAGTATTGTCCTTTCTTTTTCCTATTATTGATCTGAACTGACTTGATTTGTAGAGGAACATTTTAGACTTGATGGCCTTTAATAATAAAATGAATTGTCACTGAGTTAAAATGGAAGTGTCATTTATAGAACACATGTTGCTACAAAGATTTCTTATAGTTTAATATCTTTGCATGATAATTTTACCATGAATTCAGACAAAGAAAATCTCACTTGCAAGCCAGATTATTCTGAGTATAGATGTTTTTCTTTTGACATTTTATTCTTCCAAGTATGTCATTAATTAACCTGATTATAAAATAACTTGATTTTGCAGCAAACCAAAAATATTTTGGCAACTTTTTTACATTTTAGATAAATCTATAATGAACTTCTTATGCCTGGCAGCACCGATTTATGACAGCAGGGGTAAAAACCAGTGTCACAATTTTACTTACATCTAAGCTAAAAACGGAAATTTTATAAAATCACTTTCCCATCGCCATAATGTTGCTTCCCTGCCTTTTCTATAAAAACTTTCATGGTAATTTTTCTGATGAACTTTGCACTATACTATCTTGACTTTAGGAATTTAAGTGCAGTACTAGATTGGCGGTTAGGTCTCATCATTTTACAGTTGAATTTGATAGATGTAACTGTAAGTTCTTTGCTAATAGTTTCTTTTCTTGCATTTTTTGCCTGTGGAACTCTTTTCTGGTTTCTTACTTTCCAGCCAACTTTGATCTTCAATAATTTAAATGCAATGTCAATCGTTATCTACTTTTAATCTATAAATAAATATATATTCTAGATAGATAGCTTTGGGGATATAACCTGATAATTCAGGACACGCAGGTGGCATAATTTGCGGTAGCTCGGAATGAGAAATTAGCAAGCTGAGATTGAATTTCAGCTGAAGTTGTTATATTCAACTTTGTGCATAAAATGGTACCTTGTGTTGTAGTACTGCTAGTTTGACTAGAAACAGCAAACAAAATTTACGCCTGTAAATGATAGGTTGTTACCGTTGCTAGAGGTGAAAGGAAATGGAATAAATTTCAACAAAGCAATATTTTCATGCGTTTTTGTATGACAACTGATTAAGAAAGAAGATAAAATACACTAGTATGCATGCAAATATTGCTGAAAAGAAAGAAGACAGTAGAATTTATTGTGTGGGTGATACACGTGTGTGTGTGTGTGTGTGTGTGTAACCCCTTGCATCTTGGTGACATTATTGCCTTACTTAGGGTGAAATGATTAAAAAATAAAAAAATAACCATTGTGCTATGTTTACATCAACCATTTTTATATTACAAATTCTTGATTTATATAACAAAAATACATTTGAAAATGAAATGTTGATTGGGAAAAATGATCTGGGAATGGGTTAAGCTTCATGGAGATAAACATTGATTTGTAAAAAGGTCATGTAACATCAGTTACAGAGTATCAATTTCAAATTACATTGAAGAATAAAAAAACAAAAACAAATAGACTAAGAAAGAGAGAGAGGAGATTGAAAGAAAGATTGTTTGAATTTGAACCAATCAGGAACTGCCAAGTTGTATCATAAAAACAAAATTTCTTAAGTTCCCCCTACCCTCAAACACCCACACAAAAAAACACATTCTGAAGTTTTTCTTCTGTTATATGTCATGTCTCTTCAGGGTGTGGGCAACCATGGTTCTTCTCAACTTCCTGTCTTTTGAAGCTCTTAACAATGGTTATCTTTTTGTCATCACTTTTATTCCTCATTCTGCTATCCATTCACATATGATTGTCAGTAAAATAAAAGACAGGGAAAAAACAAGCTTAGATAAACATTCACCTTTGGATGTGACACCTTTATTAATATAAAAATGAACCTGGCTCATAAAAATCCACTTCTTTACATTACAGGTTCACATCCCTACATAGTCAGCACCTCATTCAATGGCAGGGCTTTAC